TGTATTTTTTCAAGTGATAATTGGCTCTTTATTCTCCAAGGGAGACAATGCGCTTAGTTAGGAATGGCTTTCTAACTTATATTATATTATTACTATTATTTTCAAAGTGATTTTTTATGGTTACGTAAAAGGAAACATCAAAGGTTACTGAGAATTTTTCGATACTTGTTTCGCTGTGTTTTTGATCTCAAAAGTAGTATCTACGCTTATATGGGGGTAAAAAAATTCTAAAAGTCAGATTGAACATTCTCTTCTGCAGTCTAACAGCAAGCTTTATTCATGTTTCATCAGTGCCACTATTGATTACATAAACGGAATTATCTTGATTACAGATTGCAATACAAACATGAATTTATGCATGAATTTAAGCATATTAGGGGTTATGCATGGCTTCCCTATTTTTCAGCTTACTAGCTTGTTTTCCCAATTATCTACAGCTCTTCCTCATTTTATTAGCCAGAAAAGGAAAGACAACTCATTATCAAAAAAAAAGTTCAATTTATTCCAGCCTCTGTGATCAAAAGAAAACTAAATTAGGGGCAAGTGGAGAGTTTATTAATATCCTTCAGCGATGGCTACCTTTGAGCAAGTAAAAAATTCCAAAGTTGAGTTCGAGAAGAATAAGAAAATATATAACAAAACCCTGTTAACCTTCAAGGGCGTGGATGGCGAGGATGTATACAACTGTTCTGTTCCTTTCATATACAAAGGCAAACGTCACCTTTTCGGCCGCGTAGAAAAGCGTGCCGAATGGGCTAATTCTTATGTACGCCTGTTTGTTGAAACAGGTCGAGATGAATATACACTGGTGCCCAATCAAATGATTTGGCAGTTGGAGGACCCTTATGTATCAAACATCAACGGTGAGATGATCATGGGCGGGACCCATGTGCGGAAAATTGGAGGAAAGGTGTTTAATTATTATTGCGACTTTTTCAGAGGAGCACCTGAGGATTTGAACTACTATACATGTGGGCCGGACAATATGAAGGATATTCGCGTGGTTATGTTGGCAAATCGCCGAATTGGTGTTTTCTCGCGACCAAAGACTGCAACTCATGCATATATAGGGTTTGCAATAGTAGACAGTATCGAGGATCTCAAGGCGAAGACGGTGGAGGAGGCCCTACCATTAAATGTCATTCATACTGGTGCTTGGGGAGGTGTTAACCAGGCGTATTTGTTGACTTCTGATAAAGTCGGCTGTATTGGACATTACAGCTACATTGATCAAGACGAGAATGGTGCACAGCTCACCATTTACGTGAATTATTCCTTTGTGATGGACCCCTATACACGTGAGGTGGAGGATGCTAAAATTATTGGAACGAAGGGATGCTACCCCCCTTGCCCAGCGAAAACCCCTAAATTGGTGGATTGCGCCTTTACCTCCGGCATCGTGATGCTCGACAACGGCAAATGTGATCTCTACAGTGGCCTTGGTGATGCTTACGTTGGGCGAATAACAATTGATTATCCATTCGAAGGTCATGGGAAACTTATAGACAACCTTCGGTTTTAGCGCGCTCATGCGGTTTGACTATTTAATGGTGATAGCTTCGCGAAAGCACTATTCTTTTTTTCTTGCACCTTTTTTTACAGTGTCAATATTGATTATCTTTTTGCATGTGATTGTGGAAGGGGGAAAAATATGGAAGAGCAGTGTTATCTTTCCTTTAGCATTCCTGACGTTGCGGTTGTTTCTTAGTTCATATTTTTATTTTGTTTTTTATCAGATTTTTTTTTAATGGGGCCAAAATTTTTTCGCTAAGAAATGTGTAGAGAATATAATCGTAAACAGGAGGACGCAATTAACGTACCAGACGTTGGGAAGATAACGATGTTTAATCGACCACAATATATACGTATATGTATTGTGTTCAGCTTATATCGGCACTGTTTGACTTCCCACTAGAAGATACCAAGTGCAGGAAAGGATCACAAAAAGGTAATACACATGTAGCATTTCCATTCTGAGTTTCAGGCTAGCAACGGAATTTAGAACATTATTGAATATTTCGCCATTTGTACGAACATAGTAATTTATTTGGCTTTTGGGTACAATAGAAAGGTGAAATGGTATGTTGGGACAGCTGCCCAAAGTCATGAAAGATAAGTTGCGTTCCCCTTGATTTTTTACCGATTAGAAGTTTTCTCTTTTCAACAATTTACGTACAC